GTGTGAATTAGCACTTGCCGTTTTTAGGACAGGGAAGGCAAATACCACCAATATGGGGGGGCGGCGGGGGGGGGGACCCAAAAACGTTCTCTACTCTGTCCAAAGAGTTTGGCTTTATATGCACTTATAAATATACACTGAGTGGCCAGATTATTATGACCACCCCGTCGTTGGGCCACATTTTGCCTTCAATACTGTGGCGATTCTTCTTGGCATTGACTCCACGAGATGTTGAAAGGTGATGCGAGGAATCTGACACCATGCCTGATGAATAGCACTGTCCAGTTCTGTGAGATTTGATGGTTGTGGAACCAGCTGCCTGATGGCTCTTTCAACTATCCCTGCAGCTCTTAAAGGACCATGGTAGTGGCATAGCAGCAGGGAAGGGGGCATGCTACAACAAGTATTATAACTGTTTTACAATGCTGTATTTATTTAGAGTTTACTTAATGTAATGGCAGACTAACACTGATGCACAATCAGATCCTTTGCCCAATGTGAAAATAATTCTATACAGCCTTATATTGCATGAATAGAGGCAGTCATGGGCCCTTTTTGATATACTGTATCTTTCTCTATGAATAAGCTCCTTGCTGGGTAAAACATGTTAAGAGGATGGAGGTTCGGGTGAACTTGTACAGCATCGGATGGAACAATAAACTTTAACAGCGGCTTTGATTGCAGCTGGCGACTTCCTCCCTTTCTTATTGCTTGGATTTTCTGTAAAAGCCATTTTACATAGCTCTAAAAATCATCTCTTTAGCACACCAGAGAACACGGATAGTTGCAAAGAAGCCATTAGAGAAAAGATGTATAAGGCATCTGCAAATTTTGGTAGGTCAGATATTAGATTTGTATAGTAAAGTTGGGCAAACATAATGCAAGAGATTCACACACTGGCTTCAATGCTTGCTAATATTTAGTTATCAGGCAAAAGTAGAAGCTAGTTCTCAAGTAATATTGAGCACAAGTGATAAAAGTCCCAGGTATCACACTGACACCTCTTTGGACTTGAACATTTCTCTATAGAAAGAAAATTGTCCCTTCATTGCATGTGTACCAAATGGTCACAAAGAGAATATCTTACATCAACATCATACATTTGAGCCCACGCATGGCCAGATGTCTGTTCACGTTCAGCCAATACTAGCTGAAAAGTGCCGTCTCTGTGATTGGGTGAGTACGTTACAATCCATTATGTCTGCCATTTTCAAAGGCAAGTCCACAACACACATTTGGATTTGGGTATATGCCGTGACTTGGGAGGATAGCATCCTCATGGCATAATGGAAGCCAGAGCTCGATTCAAACCAATGGTTTAGAACACAGTTAACAACACCAACACTAAAATACCATTCTAGTAAATAAAACCTTTTCACCTTTAAAACATGTTTAACAGTTCGGTACCTTATATTTACTAAAAGTACATAACAGCAGGAGCTCAGGCAAGCATCACTATGTAATTAAATAACTGATGAAAGGTTGCCACAAGCAACACCAGAGAGACAATTAAGTACCCGAGGTTTCGGAGCCACCATTAGAAAAAGTGTTGGAGATCATGGAAAGCTCTGTTGTGTAAACGCAGGTTGGAGATGTTCCTTGTATGAATAATTATCATGAAAACTGCAGAAACCATCGAAACTTGCTAAGAAAAAAGTCAAATAACTGGCGACATCAGCAACTACATGGGGTTTTCACAGCTGCTGAGAGATGACTCCATTGCTTTTTCTATAAACATACAGTGTAAACACAGAACATGTCCGCTGATGTGTGATGAGGTGCTGACAACCCATATTCTATGTTTTCCATTAAAACCTTCAGGCTTTCAAACCTCAAAAACAAACTCATTTGTTTTACTTTGTAAGATTCGGTATTTGCTTACACTTCAAAATACTGTCTTGGGTCTAACTTAAAAAACAAGAGTTGACTTAGAAACTGTCAGAAGGCTCTGTTCATTGCTGTACACATTCTGTCTGCTTTATTACACCCTGGTGATTCCAATCTCATCGGGTGATAATCATGTCTATTGGAAAGAGCAAAGACCCCTGGCTGGAAGTTCTTGGATAAATTAGCAATCAGCTGGGTTACATTTTTCAGGCAAAAGATAATCTATTCCTAAAAGGTGCCCATACACTGTACGATCATCGTACGAAAATCGGGGGAAATCCCGTGATCGTACGATAATCGCAAACGGTATGGAAGGCGTGTGACCGTTTCAACTGTTGCACGTCTTCCGTCGAACAAGCAGGCTGGAAAACCCGCCGAGAATTGGACAATTCTTAGCGGGTTAGTGGCCTGCTTGTTGGACAACTGCCGAACAGGCCGGTGTGCGCAGGCGCACACTGCCCGTTCAGCATTGTAGTCATTGGAAGCCCGACCCTCAGGGGGGCGGGCTTGCGATGATCGCAAGTACGATCTGCCTGTCCCAAGATGAGCAGATCGTATACGTTTTTTTAATTACTTTGCAACCCTCGCAAGACAAAAGTCTTGCGAGGGTTGTAAAGTGTATGGCCACCTTAAGAGTCAGGCCAATGCCATGGGATTCTGGACAATCTCCCTCTTTATACAACAACATGCACTCTACGGTCATCTAACCGGCTCGTTTAAGCAGACATAAAGGAAAGAAGGCGACTTTATATCCCTTTGCCCCCAAATTTGCCTTCTGTCATGGAAACCTAAAAACACCTGCCAAATATTTACCTCTCAACCAAAGATCTCTCCTTTAGGTCCTACAGACCAGAAATGCCCTGCTAAATCTCCTCTCATGTCACCACTGAGGAACCAGAACTGAGAAAAGCAGAGGCATCCAATGGTTAATCAATGGCTCTGCTTGTGTCAGCTGTGGTTCCTTGTCCACAGCATTGGAGGCCCAGAGAGCTTTAGGGGTAACAAGCAAATATTTGGCAGCAATTTTTAGGTTTCCATGACAGCAAGTAGCATTGGGGGCAAGAGGACCGAAAGTCACTTTTTGACTTTGTACCGCTTTATTGAAAAATATCCCTTTAAACAATTTAGGTTAGAAAAAAATGCATTGTATTGGTGAGAATGATGGAAAGTGGTGAATGTAAAATGTCTTGTTTCTCTAGATGACCCTCCCTCCCTTGTACTATGATTAAAATATGCATGACCAAAAAAAAAAAAAAGACAAATGTAAAAGAATACACATCTTACACTCTTGATGATGATGTCTCTAGGCCTTCTAGGATACTACTAAAGGCGAGGATCCCCAGCTTTCCCAGGATCTTGCAGCAAGACGAACCCTCCAGAAGCCGGGGTGTAAGGTACATGCTTTTTCATTTTTTGTCTTTTTATATCATTTACGGAGTGTATTTTAATCAGGGGGTGGGGCTCCCAGATCAGCAGATCTTACATTTACATGCAAGGTCCTCTTTAAAATGTTTCTGTATATCCAAGGTCAACATTTACAAACGTTTTATAACAAAGAGAAGGAAACATCAGCTGCATATGCAAGAGAGATTAAAGAACCACTCTAGGAAGGGGTTCTTTACAGCAAGACAGGTTAAGCTATGCAATGCCTTGGCTCTTGTCATACTCCTTGCAAGATCAGCACCTTAAAAAAAGACAGTAAGGTTTGCTTATAACCAATTGTATCCACAGTTATAATTGCTAAAGAATGATATGGGAATATAATAATCCAGGTAATTGACTTAGCTGCGTATATTGTTCGGGAAGAATTCCCTCATATGTCAAAAAGTCCTTTTGCCTAAAC